CTATCAATTAGAAACTCAGTTTGAGAGGGAGCTGAGACATACTATGTAGATAGATTTAGATTTGATGGTCACTTGAGGGTAAAAGCAGCTTCAAGGATTTGCGGAGTGGATGGAATATGACTATTCCACTGGAGAGGACTTTGAGAGCCAACAGTCCCAGAGGAGTGAGTAGCCATGGCCATATGTGTCCTCTCCATATGTACCTCACTAACATTGTACCCCAAGTGTCTACCTCACTCACATCGCACAGAAAATAGCATCTGTGTGAAAGAAGACTCGGGTTTATCAGGAAGGAGTATTTTATCACTACTGTTCTCATAAATGGCATCTTTTGCTAAGAGTTAGTATTTACTGATCATTAAGGGAAAATACACTGGTTGGGGCTCATGAAATATAGTTTTAGAAGTGCAGACCCACAAGGTTACCCCTGGAATATAAGGTAGCATTCACAGTTTGAGGCACCCAACCTATTGGTTTAAGTATGAGTTGGGGTATAACCTAGAGAAGGTGCTCCAAAAGGTTTGACTCAGGGGAGAGAGCCTGGTTGAGCGTTAGGGAAGAATAAAAGGATTGCTGTTCATCAGTGAGATATGATAACATGCTGTTATAGTACACCCCGGCTGTCTGTTTCTGGATACATTCATCTACACAGAGGGGAGAAGGTGGGTGATGAGGGTAATCCACTGAGGATCAGCAGAGGGAAAATAATAGAAACAAGAGGGCAAAGGGGCAAAGGATTCCAGAATGGGGTAAAAGCGCCCTGTTAAATTCATTAGCTAAAAGATTTAGACAAAAAACTTAGTGAGGCCAAAACAGGATAAAAGATTGGGACAAGAAGAAGGGGCAGAGGTCAAGGTGAGGATGAATAGATTTAGTAGCAGTAGGTCTGTGGGACAGCAGAATGACAGATTATGATCAGAGAAGGGCATTTTAAGAGCTTAGGACATCGGTGGCTTAACTGTTATGGGTAAAGGTATGAATGTTCCTCTGGGTGTCTGCTATAGGAAGTCATGGTAACTGAGGAGGCTAATGAACTTGGAGATGAGAATGTTTAAAGGGCAGATCCATGGCACAGTGGATAAAATGCTGGGCCTGGAGTGAGGAAGACCCGAGTTCAAGTCCAACATCAGATGCTTCCTAGCTGTGTGGCCCTGAGCAAGTCACTTAACCTGTTTCCTCATCTGCAAAATGGGCATAATAATAGCATCTGCCTCATAGGACTGTTGGGAGGATCCGATAATAACTGTAAAGTGCTTAGCACAGTGCCTGGCACCTAGTATTTTGTTGTTGCTGTCTACAAGTGTTAACTTTTGTTGTTTCAGTCACGTCTGACTCTTCATGATCCCATCTGGGGTTTTTTTGGGCAGTGTTACTGCAGTGGCTTGCTATGTGCTTCTCCAGCTCATTTTACAGATGGTGACTTGCCCAGGGTCACACAGCTAGTAAGTATCTGAGGCCATATTTGAACTCAGGAAGATGAATCTTCCTGATTCTAAGTCCAGTGCTCTAGGCACTATGGCGTCACGTCACTGCCCATAAATGTTAGCTCCTGTTATTAGGAGATGCACGGAATAGACTGTTTCTCTTCCAGTTGTTTAATGGCATGAACTTTAATAGTCACGTCTCACATTCACTTTGACTTTATCGTGAAATATAGTGCAAGATGTTGGTCTAAGCCTCATTTATGACAGACTGCTTTCTGATTTTCCCAGCAGTTCTTATCAGTAATCTTATTTTCAGTATCTTACAACCACTATCTTATCCTAAGTAATCTGTGATTTCATGTTTATTGAACATTGGGTTATTGAGTTCCATTTTTTCTCTTTCTCCCTTGGTTAGCCTGTTCCATTGATCTACTTTTCACTTTTTGACCAGTCCCCAAACAGTTATGATTGTAAAGTACTTTGCAAACCTCAAAGCCTTCATATCTGTGTTAGCTAGGATTCCTATGGATAGGTCAGACTACACTTGTGGTATCAATGATTACCATCTACATTCCACTGTTGCTGTGTTCTTAACACTCAAGTGGTCCATTTGATCCATGGCGGAATCCCCCTCAGGGACTCCCTGACTCCCTTCCTTAGGATGAGCTGGGGACCAATCATCAGAAGTGCAGTTAGTTGACTGGATATTTTCCTAATAAGTATATTCTTTAGCATGAAATGAACTCGTCAACAAACCAGTAACACACAGCGTTTGAAAGGACCAATTGGGGTTGCTATGGCCTCTACAAGCATGGTGAGACCATTGAGCCTCCAGTCCTGGCCCTTGTGTTTTCTGGTTTTACACCTAAACCAATCCAAGGCCACTTGTGTTTCCAGGGGTGGGAAGATGGAAATCAAGAACAGATTTATATGGATTCTCAGCTCAGGTCCATCCAGGAGAAAGGGGACGAGCCCAGACAAGAGAACCCACCTTACAACTCTACATTAGTGGCATCCTTCCAGGGTGACAGGGGCTGTAACTTTGTTTTTATTTTCCTGTAAAGGAAGCCCATCCTGGTTGTTTCAGTAGCTTTCCAATATCGAGTGAGCATTTTTCTTCCCTCTCTCTTGAGAGAAATGATTATTTCTCTCTCATATTAATGGGCAATTATTAAAACTGGGAAGACCCAAGCTTTTTTTCAAGTCCTATTTCCTAGTTCAATCTCTTAAGGACCAGGCTGGGATAAAATAGGATTAACTTTCTCCTCTTTCTGGGTGTCGCTACTCCACCCAACTAGGTCAGATTTCTAATCTAAGGTGAAACTCCCTTCTGCTCAGGCTTAGGTGGGGGATAAATTCTTTGAATAGAATGCCCAAGGCTGGGAGAAATTTAGAAGTAAATGACATCATCAAAGTTCATTACACTAGGTTCAGCCCATCATAATACCATTAGTTCTCTCATTAATTGTTAACCAGAGGTGACTGTCACCCTTGGGAACACCTCTCTTCCAAGGGCACATAAGCCATGAACCTGTTACCACGACAGTCTTTGGTTTTCCAGAGTGTCACTGACTTTTATTAAAAATGCTGGCACTGTTGATAAAATGATAAATCATCCACAAATTACGGCTCTCCAACTCTTTAAACGCCACACCCTCCCCTCTATGGACTTGGGGTGTCAGTGAATGTCTTTTGACCACTAAAGCACTCTTTGGTTTCCTAGATGGAATCCAGTCTGCATTCCTCTTGTTCAGTCCTCAGCCCCCATCCTCAATCCATCTGCAGTTACCTGATCAAGACAGGTGATGCTGATGGTAGAATTCAGTGAATTACCCATCCACCTACATGTCAGTCCAGCCAATGTGATTCTTTTTTTTTTTTTGCACTTGGTTTTTCCTGTGTGTCTATCTCAATCTCATTTGAGCAGCCATCGCATGGTCTTATCCAGGAGGCTTGGTGCAGTCAGTACAAAGTCATCTACAAAAAGGAGTATCTGGCAAATCTGCCCATTTATCAGATGTCCTTCTCACATTTATATTCTGCATGGCCATCCTCTGTCGTACTAGGACTTAAGCAAAATTGGACCACTAACCATTCCCCAAATTTCAAACATCATTCACACATGCTGTTCCCCAAACACATTCCTTTCTCATCTCTGTTGCTCAAACTCTCTATTACTTTGAGGCTTAACTCAGACCATCTCCTCCCTTAAAACCTTTTCTCACCTTCCAGGTGGCATTCTCTGCTGCCTCCACTTTCCTCGTACTCTACCTCTGATCTTCTATCTCCCTAGTAGGATGTAAGCCCCTTGAGAAAAGGCAGTCCTGGCATCTCTCGTGCTAGCACAATGCCTTCTACATAGCAGCAGCCTAACAAACCTTGAATGGTCTATGTACAGACCAAGGATAGACCTGATGAAAACATGAGAAACAAATAGAGAAGTGCTAGGTCAAGGTTAAATCTCCATACCATGCCACATCTTTACAAGTGTAATACCTACAGGTGGAGAGAATAGTGACCTCTTGGCTGTGGCCTACAGCAGAACAAAATGCTTCAGGCTGTCTGCCCTCCAAAGGAATCTCCCACACATAAGTAAAATCACACAGATTCAGTGACAGATGTAGGCAGAGAAAACAGGTTGTCATCTTGTTATCAAGCCAGATGTAAACCGTGAAAATATATACAAAGTAATTCCTATATGTGGCATTTTCCCCCTCCTCAGCCTTCATCCTAATAACTGGGGCCTGAGCAGTGAAGTGGGGGTAGGGTATGAGCCCCTTAGTTGAGGTTGTGCCCAAACTGGATCCTCCTGATGTCCTCAGCCCAGCAGCTGGGCTCCAACCTAACTTCACTCACATCCATCTATTCCTCCCTCAAGCTACTGCCCTGTGCTCTGCATCCACCTCTGGCTTGTGTCTCTGCCCTCTGGCTGACTCTCCCTGCCTGGAACATTCTTCCTCCACAGGTCAGCTGGAAGGCCAGTTCCTCTGCAAAGCCTTTCCTCATCATCTCAGCAGTTGGTGTTCACCTCCTGCCTCCCCCAGAGAAAAGGTTCTTTATCCTTCTCATGGTCCCTGCTGGGTCTTCCTCCCCGCCCCACCCCACTTGAAGCCTGAGTTGCTTAGGGGCAGGGACTAATTCATTTTTCTTTGTATACCCAGAAGCTAGCACAGTGCTCAGCACATAACCCAATCAATGCTTGTGGAATTCAATGGAGTGGATGTGGAAAGGGGCATGATTTAAACTCCAACCATTTAAGGAAATTTAGAAAAGACAGTTGGTGAAGGTGCCAAGAGAAGCACTGAAGCTGGAACTGGGAACCAGCAGGTGGAGGCTGGCATCAAAGCCCAAGTAAAGCAGGCCCCCAGAGCCTGCCCTGCTAGGGCCTGCGGGGTGGGGGCATCTGTACATCTGTACATGTTGCCTCTCCGAACCCTGTGGGAGCTCCCCGAGAGCAGGGGCCGTGCTTTCCCCTCCCTGCCCCAGCGTCACACTCAATCGTTTCTAATTTAATTTTGCCAGCACGTTTGAATGCTGGCTTCCACCAGGTCACAGTGAAAACAGGACAACACACAGTGTATTTAAAGCTTTAGCATCTTTTGTCCAAAATGGAAGAAAACAACACACTCTCATCTGCCCTCACAACACCTCTGTGAGGTAGTTAACAAGTGGATATCATTCCTCTCTTCTTACAAACTATGAAATGGAGGAAAACAGGACAGAAGATTTAGTGCCCTGCTCAGGTTACCCCGAGTCAAAAATCACAGGTAAATAATGACCCAACTTTCACATTTCTTGGCCCTAGCTCTATTATTGGAAATAAACCACCTGCCCATTCTGCCCTCCAGTGAATCTTGGTCCTTATCTAAAACCCAGCTTTGGCCTATCTCTAATCCTGCTTACACTAGGACTGCCACAAGATAAAAGATCATTCTGATTCCACCCTCTATCTGCTCCACACATTTTTCTTTTCCTCCTAAAACACTGTCCAGGTCTGGCTAGAATCTGTGCCTTGGACCCACAACAGGGACGAGCACCACAGTTAATTACTATCTATGCCCAAAGGCAGCTGCCAACACAATGGGCCTAGGGGTCCGAGGTCCTTCCTTGGAGAAAGAGTAGGGCCTGGAGTCCCAAAATGTTTTCCAGGTGCCAGACACTGACATGGAATGTTTCCAGAGACCCAGGGACAAGGCCTTAGCTGGTGAAGGGCAGCTACTTTTGGCCTGCAGTCCCAAAAATGTCTAGTGAGACAGAAGGGAGTGGGGGCGAGGAAAGGGAGAAACAAGAGAGACACCCTAGGATGATGCCCCCCGCCCCGCTTCAAAGCAGAGGGAACAGCAGCAAGGGCCCCGCTTCTGTCAACTGCTCCCTTCTCAGTCCAACCTCTCCCACCTCAGACCTTCCCGGCCCCCAGCCTTTTGAGAGTGGCCTGGGCTTGGGCCAGCTGCTGACTGAGCCTCTGTCGGGTGGTCTCAGTGGGGCCCTGTTTGAGGAGCCCCCGCATCTTCTCCACTATGGCCCTCTGCCCAGTGGTGTTATGGAAGATCTTCACCACCCTGTCTCCACAGGAAGCCAGGAACCGCCCTGTGGTGTCGAAGGCCATTTCAGCCACCCGATCTTCATGGACCTTGTCAAAGCTCTCCTCTGCCTCGCCCCGCTTTGTGTTATAGAGGCGTATGTTGTTGCCGCTGGCCAGAGCCAGGACCTGGGCGTCAGGAGAGAGGGCCAGGATGCAGGGCGTGGAGGCCGCCTCGCCGTACGGCCCTGTCAACAGGACGTAGGGGTCTTGCTGCTGCTTGTACTCCACGTCTGTGGCCCACAACTTCCACGTCCCATCCTTGGAGACAGTCGCCATCCTAAAGCACGGAAAAAGAAACCCCAACTCCGGCCCTGACCACACTAAGGAGACGATGCAAGCAGACGGGGTCAAACGGAGTGACGCCCACTGGACACCAGGCCCAGGGATCCGGACTGGCCGGTATGTGTCAGGGGAGGGGCCGCGAGGGGGCCTGCTTACCGGCAGGAGTCATTGGAGAAAGCCAAGAAGTGGATACCCGCGGTATGGCCCTTCAGTTCAAAAGCACGTGTCACCTCCCGGAATTGCCCATTCTTGTTAAAGCAAACTTCCCAAACTTTAGCATCTGGAGTGAAGCCACATGAGCCCACAAATCTGCCACAGAGAAGCCAGGGCTGGTTTAAGACTCGGTCTCGGATCCAGGGCTCCCTTTTCCCCCCTCGGTGCTACCCTGCTCCTCCCCGTGTCCTCACCTGCTGCAAGGGGAGATGAGGGCGTAGGTGTTGTTCATCTGGTTGGTGTTGATGATGGACAGCACTTCCCCCTTTAAGGTCCAGATGATGATCGTAGTGTCGCTGGAGACTGACATGATGAACTTTCCTGAGAGACAGGCAGGCAGATGCTGGTGACAGCAGGCAGGGCGAGTCCTCGTTGTCTCCCCGTGTTCCCTTCCCTTCCATAAATCTCAGCGGTCTCTCCTTTCTGCCACCACGACTGTGACTGTGCTGGGGGAGGTCTCAACGCCTTGCTTAAGGGAATCTTGGAAAGCGGGACCTCGACACTGTGGTGAACAGAGAGGTCCCTTTCTCCCTCCTGGGTCCCAATAGACCTAGAAGCCTTCGATGTTTTTTCTTTAGCATGGAACTATGTAACTAACTTAATTTTGCAGCAAACTCCTTAAAACAAAACCCCACAGTAATATCTCTGTGAACCTATGATGACTTAAGTTTGTTTTATACATATACATACGTGCATATGCGTGTGTGAAAAGGGGGCCACCTGACACAGTGAAAGAGAATTGGCCTCAGAGTTGGGGGAACTGGGTTGCCATCTTGCCTCTGACAACAAAACCTGTGTGATCTTGGGGAAGTCACATAACTTCTCAGGGCCTCAGAGGGCTGGACTAGGTGGCCTGAGGCCCCTTCCAGCTCTAGCTCTCAGACGCAGTGAACTGTGCTTGTATACCTCTCTCAGGCAATGCAGTATTTTCCTAGACCTCAGCCTGAGCGGCCTCCTTACAGAAGCTCTGCCCTGGCAACCTCTCACCTGTCTCAGCAATGCCAACGTTGATGACTGGAGCCTTGTGCCTCTTAGGAAAGTCCTCTTCCATAGGCTGGAAACTACTGTTACCATCATCCTTCTTTTTCATCTTGAATACACTGATGGTGTCTCCATTAGCCAGCCAGGCGATCAAGGCTCTGGGGACAGGCATGAAACACTCAGGTTACAAAGAGGTGCCTCAATCTCTGCCCAAGAGCTTTGCCCATTGGGTCCTTCTCAGAGGCTGGTATTGGCTGGGGTTCTCTCACACCCCTGGACCCCCCTGGTCAGTCTCCAAAGAGGTCTTGTTGTTCTCAAAGGGAGACCCTCGGGATGACCCTATAAGCCCAAAGGAGGCCCCACGCACAGGGACACTGCTACACATCCCTCCTTGCAGAGACGTACAGGGGTCAGGACATCCCACTAAGCTGCCTGGTCCTCTCTGCTGAGCGCCAAGGGGCACTCTCTGAGCAAACCCTAGAAGGATGTGGCCCCAAGAGCTGTGCTTGTGTAGGCTTGAGGCCCCATCCCATCCCACCTGCAGTCAGGGCTGAAGCGCACCAAGGTGGCATGGTCCAACTTCACATTAACGCGAAGACTTCGATGTTCCCGATGCAAGAAATCCTTGGTGCTCCAGATGTGGATGGTTCGGTCATCGGCACAGGTCGCCAGATATTTACCGTTGTTGCTGAAGTCCATGCTACTGACATTCCCGCTATGGCCCTGGGGGAGAAAGAAGGGTAGTTTTAGCATAGGCTGGGCAGGAGATTGCCCAGGCAGCTCTGAGAGCCCTGCCACCCCTCATCCCAAGATCTGATGGCCTGGCGTGTGCCCTGAGACCCAGGAGTGCAACAGCACCAATTACTGGCATGAAAACCAATTACCGGTTTTTCTTACTGACGTAGGCCAGAATGCTTTGAACTGTGAAAGGAGGTGGAGGGACGTCTACTTGTGACACTTCTGAGATGCTAAGTCGTAGGGTGCAGAGATGTCTGTATGTACATGCTCGCACCCAGGGAGGAAGAGGTTGGATTACCTTCAATTCGGCGGCCAGGAGAGCATGAACAAAAATGTGCTGATGAGGCTTTTCCTTATGGTATCGTTGCTTTTGTTTCCTGTGTGCTTGGCTTTTATGGAAGGAAACTCCATTGGTCTTCTGCTCTGTAAGAGAGAAGTCTCTCAGTCCCTAACCCAAGAGCTGGGTGCATCCTAGGAGCTCACAGTAGCTTTCTAAGACATAGGGTGGCAGGGGCCCACCTCCAAGGGCCTCAGTGTTCCGGTCTGTCAAATCAAAGACCCCCAACACACACCCATGACTTTCCCCACATGTTCTACATACATCCTCTTCTCTCCATTCAAACAGTCAGCGCTGTTCATTGCTAATTACCAGACTACTGCAAAGGCTTCTTTCTAACCAGCCTTTCTCTCCTCTATCTTGAACAAAGCAGGCAAAGTGACTTTCCTAAAAGCACAGGCAGCCAGGCATGGCTATGCTGCTCCCAACTCCTACGTTAAACTTAGTGGCTCCATGCTACCTCTATGATCAAATACAAAATTATCTTCGGGGCATCTGGAGCCTTTTTGCAACCTGGCCCCAACTCATGTTTTCGACCTGATTGGAAAGTACTCTCCTGAACCTTATGGTATAGCTTAACAGGACTATGGACAGCTAAGTGGCACAGTGCTTAGAGCACTGGGCTTGGAGTCAAGAAGACTGAGTTCAAATCCAGCCTCAGACACCTACTAGCTGTAGGATCCTGGGCAAGTCACTTCACCCAATGTGCCTCAGTTTCCCCATCTGTAAAATGAGCTGGAAAAAGAAATGGCAAACCACTCCAGCGTCTTTGCCAATAAAAGCCCAAACGGGATCACCAAGAGTTGACCACCACTAAAAATAATCAGTCACCAGCAAGCAAGCTCAGCTCCCGTGCAGGACACTCGTATCCCCCCACCTCTCAGAATCCCTAGTACCCTTCAAAATCCCACTCCAGCGGCCCGGCGGCGGGATGCTTCTTTTCCCTCAATTGCCCCAGAGCGCTTGTGCTCAGTTGGGAAGCGCATGAGAAGACTTACAAGAACTGATGCGACGGGAAGCAAGCAGACACAGGAAAACAACACACACGGCGACGACAAAGGGAAAAACAGCAAGGAAGCGGCTGGAGCTAAACGCTGCCAAATGACTCGGCCGGAGCACCGGCGTGAGGCCCCTCCCCGCTTCTGGAGGCAGGGGGCAGCGGGTGTGGGGGGCTCACACACACAGGGTCGGCCTCTGTCGGTCTGTGGATCTTTTCTGCTTCCTCTTTAAAAACTCCTTATTAAAAGAAGACTCTTTGGGACGTGGGGGGAGGAACGCTGTAGGAAGTTTATGTGACGTAAAAACAAAACATCGCCAACGGTGTTATTTTAAAACACACCACCACGTGTGCCGGCCACTGCCCACCACACGCTCTCCGTCTTGGCCTGCCTCTAGGAGTCTCTATTTTCTCCCGAGGGCCCCCTGCAGCAGCAGGCTTACCCCGGCCTACCAGGCCTCTGAGTAAAGCACCAGAAACACGTTGGAATGTAAGCTCCCTGAGGGCAGGGGGCGCTTTGGCCCCAGGGCAGAGCACTGAGCGTTTCCAAATAACTTTTTCATGCACTGGTTGATCGATCTCGTCCACAGGGGCTGGTCAGACGTTAACCTTATCTTACAGCTAGGGAAACTGAGGCCCGGCAAGTTAGAGGCAGAGTTGGGTTCCTTTGAGAGGAACTAAGTTTCCTCGAGGGGGAGGGGAAAGCCCTGTCGGCCCCGCTCCCCCTCCCCCCCACAGCCGGGTGCCACGTGTCTTTCCAGGCTCCTTCCCGTCTCGGCGGTCTTCGGCGTCGCCCCACCCGCACAGAGAATTCCTGTCCCTTCCCGGCACCCGTAGCTTCTTCCGGTCTCCGCTTTCTCCCCTCCCCCCACTTCCGGCACTCGTAGCTTCGCCCAACCAACACCCCCCTCGCCCCTCACGGCACCCGTAGCCTCCGCGCACAGCTCGTGAGATCCTCGACAGCGACACTTAGGCCGCGCCGTCGGTTAAACCTCCTCGGAATTCCGGCGCTTACCGTCCAGGGGGTCGCCGCACTTCTGGTTCCAGCGTCTCCGGCCCTGCGCTGCGAGCACCACTATCAGCAGGGCCAACAAAGCGAACAGCAGCAACACCACCAGCAGCTCCGTCGCCTCCATCTTCCCGTTGCTGCTGCCACCTCGATGGGGGGGAGGGGGAGGGTCGTGGCGGCGCGGCCGGGGCGGGGCCGGGCGCGGGCACGAGCACGCCCGCCGCGGGGCCGCGCTCGTCGGTTGCAGCAGGGCGCAGGCGCGGGACCATATCAGGGGCTGAGCGGACTGGACGTCAGCCTGTGGGGGCGGGGAAGGGCGCCGTGTGCGGGGAAACTGAGGCTTGGAAGAGGACCTGACCATTGTCTAAACTCAAGTCCCCTGAGTGCTCGGGCGTTTCCCTTTAGGGCGGTGTGACCTTGAGCCAGTCACTGTCCTACTTTAAGTCGGGCGTTACATGCTTAATCGCCCGCTGGGTGCCAGTCGCTGTGCTAAGCGCTGGGGACACAAAAGAAGGCCAAAAGACACCTCTCCCCCCCCCCCCGTGACCCTGTGACCTTGGATAAGACCCTCCACCTTCTCTCAAACAAAGGTGGCCCGGAAGATCAGCAGTCTTTCCCCTCTTCCCCCCCCAGCTTTTCAGTCAAGGCCCGGGGCCACAAATGGGGAGCTGTACATGGTAGGCGCTTAATCAGTGCTTACTGAGTGAGAGTCCAGCTCTCCGTGACCCTATGTGGGCTTGGCAGAGATACTGAAGAGGCTTGCCATTTCCTTCTCCAGCTCATTTTACATATAAGGAAACTGAGGCCAGCAGGGTGAAGTGACCTACCTAGGGTTACACAGCTAGTGTCTGAGGTAGAATTTGAACTCGGGTCTTCCTGACTCCCCACCCGAAGCCCTGTGCACTATGGCGCCCCCTAGCAGCCCCTGTCCGTGCTTGTCAGTCAGGAAAAATTTAATGGGTTAAGAATTGTTGTCCAGATTGGGAGTAGGGCCGAGGGCCTGGGATTAGGCATGCCCCCATAGGCTGAAGTAGACAGTGACGTGGTAAAGACTAATTGCAGGCTAACATTGAACTGGCACAGCCGACTGGTCCAGTTTGTCTGTGGGAAATTGAAGTTTTTTTTAAAAAAAATTACTATTTCTGTAACAAAGAACTGTCTTTTTGTCTTATTATTTGCATTTAGGCAGCAAAACAACGGATGATAAACCGAGCCTTGCAGTAAATCTAATATATTCCACATCCTTGGGCTCCCACCTCTCTGGAGAAGGGAAGGCAGTTATTTTCTTAATTCTGATGGGCTGAGTTTGATGATCACAGTTAGGAAATGTTCAGTTTCGTTTTTCTGGAGGGGGAGGGAGAGTGTCTTCCAGTTTTCAGTGCTGTAGTGATTGTTTATATTGTTTTCCTTTTTATGCTTATTTCTCTCAGTTCACAGATGTTTTCCCAGGCTTCTCAGAATTCTTATATGTTTTTTCTAATAATAATAATACTCTATTACATTTCTGTATCACAGTTTATTCAGCCATTTTTCCATCCACGAGGCCTGTCTTCCCAAACATATTTTGGGGACATGATTGCTAATCATGGAACCAGACAGTTGCTAAAGTAGTGATGTTGGGGATCATTCAAAGGGCAATGGAGAGGGGTGTGGTGGGCATGAATAGGCTGCAACACATTGGAATTCAGTAATTACATGGGAGAAACGGTGGAAAGGATATCATCCCATAAATGTACGATCAAAAAAGGCGGACTGGTTGTATGGCAAGGCAATTACATGCTCCACTGGCATCTTGGCAAGTTGGGTGTGCCACACCTTCCTGGAAAGCAGGAAGCGTGAGTGGCAAGGAGGGCTTCGAGTCTGCATTGTTGCAAGGAATGCGCAAATGGAGGTGGCTAAAGATCCGTTGGAGCGTGGATATGGAGGGAGAAGTACTCATCCCAGCAATGATACCTTAAGAAAACATTGGAGCCTTTGCATGGAGTCTAGAGGAAGAATCTGCCTTTTTTTAAATCTCGCACTGTCCAAGGGAAAGGGGGCTCTAGTGAACAATAGCATTTTCCCGCTAAGTGGAGAATTGTGATTGACCAGGATGCTCCAGCCAAGGAGGAAATATCTTTTAAGCCCGGGTAGTTGTTTAGTCGTTTCAGTTGTGTCCGACTCTGTGACACCATTTGAGATTATCTTGGCAGAGATACTGGAGTGGTTTGCCATTTTGTTCTCTAGTTTATTTTACAGATGAGGAAACTGAGCCAAACAGGGTTAAGTGATTTGCTGAGGGTCACACGGCTAGTAAGTACTTGAGGTTATATTTGAACTCAGGTCTTCCTGACTCCAGGCTTTGTGTTCTATCCACTGTGCCAACTAGCTGCCCCATACAACTCTCCTACATGGTAGTGTGGAAAAAGCTTTGGCCTTGGGATTAGAAAGACCTGGGTTCAAGTCTTACCTTTGACACTTTTGCTTGTAACACTGTAGACTATACATTTCACCTCCTGAGCTTCAGTTTCCTCATTTGCAAGGTGGAGAAATTATGTCTGCAGTAATCCGTCTCCTGTGCAGTTAGGTGGTGCAGTGGATAGAGCACCCAGCCCAGAGTCAGGAAGATCTGAGTTCAGATGTGGCCTCAAACTAACTGTGTGATCCTGGGCAAGTCATTTAACCTTGTTTACCTCAGTTTCCTCATCTGTAAAATGAGCTTGGAGAAGGAAATAGCAAACCACTCCAGCATCACTGCCAAGAAAACCCCAAATGGGGTCACAGAGAGTTGGACACAACTGAACAACATATTATGTCATGATTTGCTGGGACAGTGAGATAATATGTAAAGCTTGTTAAACATACACACACACACACACACACACACACACAAATTTTCAAGTGCTGTATCAATATTAGCCTTTCTATGTTAGCAAAGAAAATTTGGGGTCTGTAATACCAAAAGTGATCATTATACCTCATCTGTATATGGGACTTTGAGGTTTACAAAGTGCTTTCCTCACAACAGACCTGTGAGGTAGGTAATGTATTGTCCCCATTTTAGAAGTAAGCAGAGACTTGGAGAGTTTATGTGGCTTGCACTTTGTCCTACAAGTTGTACTGGTGTCCTTAGAGACCCACCCACTGGAGCCATTGGATTTAAAGTTGGTTGGGCCTTTAGGGGCCGTTCAAAAATCCAGTCTTTTCATTTTATAGCTAAAGAAAGGCCCAAGGGACAGCTAGGTAGCATAGTGGACAGAGTACTGGCCTTGGAGTCAAGAGGACCTGAGTTCAAATCCAGCCTCAGACACAATGCTTACTAGCTGTGTGACCCTGGGCAAGTCACTTAACCCCATTGCCTAGTGAAAAAATAAAAGGTCCAGAAGCTAAATACCTTGGCCAAGATTATGTAGTAAGTGGAAGAGCCATAATTGGGGAAGTCAAAGGACCCAGATTCAAATCCTGCTTCTGTTGATGACTGTGACTTTGAACAAATCACCATCTCCCTGGGCCTCTGTTTCCTGTTCTGTAAAATGAGGTTGGATTAGATGGCTTCTGAGATCTCTCTCCCATCGCTGGATCAGTGATTCTATATGCATATGGAAGGATTTATGGTCATTCTAGCTGGATCTATGATACTAATGTCCTATCTGAGCTTTCTCCCATTATAAATAAATTGGCCATCTGGTTCATTATGCTGTCGTGGGTATAATTAGCATGAGAGAATTGCTTATTGTAGAGTTACCCCTCTACAACGGATGAAACTAGTTTTCTGAAGCTTCAGTATTGAGAACCAGATCCAAAGGGGCCCTGTACATGTCTGTTAGGTCCAGTCTGAGTTGCCAATTTCTTTTAGGCTCCACCTTTGGCTGTCTGTGATGTGTCTCCTCCATAAGAAACCCATCAATAATAGTATAATCGGGGAGGCCGTTGTTTCATTGGCTGATCCAGGGGAAGAAGGGCACCCCCACCACCTTCACTGATCTTCTGAAGCTTCAAGAGCCCTGCTTAAACCTCATGGCATGCAGAAAACAAAAATGGCAAGTTTCTGCATTAAGGCTTGGAAACCAATCCAAAGGGCTTTTATTTGACGTGTAGTGAACAATATGGAAACATTCTGAAGTTAAGAGTGGAGTCTGTCTGTTCCAAGATATCGTGACCTTTCAGAACCAGGCTGATCAAATACTGCCGTGAGTCACCTACACGTGCTTCCAAGGATGGACCCTCTTTTTCCACTTCCTCATCGTATTCACTTTAATATGGTAGTTCCAATGTTCCCCCTGCTTGTCTGTGTCTCTTTCTGAACTTTCTTCTGTGTGTTTTTAAATTGTTCATTCTATTTTTTTCCATCACTATTACTACCCCTCCCATTTTCTCCTTAATTCTCCCTTGCCTCCCTGCATCTGCCCTCAGAAGGCCTGCCTTGTACCCTTGTAGCAGAAGTACAGTCAAACAAGACAAATTTATGTTGCAATGATTGTGTTTGAAAATGCATGCTTCATTCTGCATCTGTCTAACCGCTCTCCAAGAGGTGAGAAGCATGCTTCATCATCAGTCTTGAGAAGCAAAAAGGAATAAGGCTGATGATTTCTGTGGGTTTATTTTATATCTTGCTACTTTCCTGAAATTGTCAGTTGTAATACTTTTTTTGGTATATGGTATGAGATGTTGATCTAAGTCTAATTTTTCCCAGATTGCTTTCCAATTTTCCCAGCAGCTTTTGTCAAATAGAGAGTTCTTATGAGCCTAGTGGTTTGTGTTCCTGGGTTTATTGAACACTAACTATGCTATTGTATTCAATTACTTCTGGGTCTTGTGTACCTAATCTGTTCCACTGGCCAACTTTTCTAATTTTAACCAGGACCATTTTGATCATTTGATCTTTTGTAGTGTGCTTTGAGATTTGGTTCTGCTATGCCCCCTTCCTTCCCACTTTTTTCATTATTCCTTTGAGATTCTTTACCTTTTGTTTCTCAAAATGAATTTTGTTATAGTTTTGTCTAGTTCTATAAAGGAATCTTTTTGTAATTTGGTATAACAATGAATCTATAAATTAATTTGAGTAGTATTGTCATTTTAATTGTATTAGTATGGCCCGACCACGAGCAATTAATTCTCCAATTAAGTCTTCCTTTATTTCTGCAGTGGTTTTTTTTTTTTTTAGTTAGGCAGTGGGGTTAAGTGACTTGACCAGTGTCCCACAGCTAGTAAGTGTTATGTGTCTGAGGCCGGATTTGAATTCAGGTCCTCCTGAATCCAAGGCTGGTGCTCTATCCACTGCGTCACCTAGCTGCCCCACAGTATTTTTAAAAAATCCTATAATTCTTGTTTCTTTCTGCTGTTTAAAAAATTTTTAATTTAATTCTTCAATTAACATACTTTTTTTTCTTCCTACTACTTGCTTTGAAAAGTAACAAATATGCATAGTCAAGCAGAGTTTATCATGGGTCCTCGGGAATCATGGTTGGTCATTCCATTGATCCGAATTCTTAAGTCTTTCAAAATTGTCTTTATAATGTTGTTGCTAATAGCAGTTAGCATTTATATACTGCTTTAAGGTTTACAAAGCACTTCATAAATATTATTTCATTTCATCCTCACAACCCTGTAAGGTAGGTACTCTTGTTATCCCTATTTTGCAGATGAGGAAATTGAGGCTGAGAGGATAAGTGACTTGTTCAAGGCCAGCTAGTAGGGTCTAAGGTGAGATTTTTCTTTCTGATTTCAATTCTAGCCTTCTATCCATGCATCGCTGAGCTGCCCCTAAAAAATTATATAAATTGTTCTCTTGGTTCTGCCTACTTAACTCTGCATCAGTTCATATAGGTCTC